TAAAATCTGCCGCATCAACACCTTGGCCGTACCGTCGCGAGCTCCCAACAGATCAACGTTTTTTTTTCGATATTAAAATGCGATAAATTCTGCTCACATGACCCGACCTGCATACAGCACGCTTTTGGCGTTTAAACGTCACTATCGTAAGTCTGTTACGGGCTGGTTTGTGCCAGTTAGGTATGCCGTTAACCATGATGTTTAATACTCAGTACTGCTTGATACATCGCGTTTGTTTAATGCACTGGCGAATTTTCCCGTCTTTTTAATCCGCGTGCTTCGGTCTCTCAGGCATCACTTCAGTTAACGGCCCACTACCGTATCTGAGCTGCTTTTAGCCCTGCTCTGGTTCATGCACCCATCGATTACTACGTTTTTCACGTACACCAACCACTCGGAGCTGTCAATCGTCAATGTCGCTCATCTGAGCTTTCTTTCATACGTCAGCAGGCCCATACCGGACGAACGGCCACTTCTGCTATTTAGACAACGGCTGAGTACTGCCAGATTCACCCATGGCGACCGCCGACTGCTTGCGCTGTTTCACCGATAACAAAACCCGGTTGATAAAAGCATATTCTGCCTGACATGTCGATCCCTAGAGAAGTGAAAGCAATGCTAACCTACCTCTAAACGATGAAATTACAGATATGAGTAAGAAAAATCAAAGTATAATAGGAACAGGCGTAAGTATGCCATATGCCATGTGTAAGTGGTACTTGTCAGCAATTCAATCACTGCGCGGGCGATGCCCATGTATTTTAGGTTTTTCGTCAGTACGAGCAGTTGCGATGCGGTTTAAGTTGTCAGCGACGCATCGACCTAAATGATGATTAGACTAAATTAACGAAAAACCTTGTGTCCCTCCTTTGAATCCCTGGCACCAATTGGATGATGTGAAATCGCCCGAACGCGAAGATGATTCATTAACTGACAGGGGCCGACAGTACAGACTAACTACTATACTCGTCGGCGTCGTGGAGATCTCAAAGTTGGAAATGGCCATCTATTTTAACCGTTTTCCCATTAAGAGGAAAAAAATACGGTTCGGATCACACACGGCAATCAGTAATACCACGCTTTTGGTCCACTCGATTAACGCCACTAGTTTTGACTTACTTTTCCCATATGTACATAAATCTCACCGCTTATCTTAGACCGTGAAATCTACAAATTTGACACCTTTCCGCCTGTCTGCTCTTCGTTCTGGCTTGCCGCTACCTGTAATACCCAAGAAATGCTTTCCCATCATAACCTAACCTTCTGTCATCGTGCAGACAATAATAATACTCGCTAGAGTACTCATGGTGCCAATATATATTCGTTTATCCAGTTGCTAAGTGTTTACCCTCTGCAAATCGTTTAAAAATAGCGATTTCTCGGTGGCTCTATGCTGCTCTGACGCTGAGAACCGGTTGACAAGCTCGTGACCACGCTATAACGTGGTCAGGGGCCCGAACACGATTTCATTTAATTTCTGTCAACTGTGTTTAACTGCGGAAACGCCGTATCGTCGGTTTAAATTACCGCTTTCGATTGAAGCCACTGCAAGAGGACCAACAGCAGAAGCGGTAGGGACCCATTCGGGAGAATGCTCATCGGAGAATGCGAATCGTTCCCGATTGCCGCATACATACGTTTATACATATATCGCACCTTTACTACATTACAAATACTTTTTGGGAATGTTAAGCTGCCTTGAGGTGTACTACGTCCGTGACGCTAGTAGCGTCAGCATCCTTCTTCCTCTCGCAAGCAACTATGGCACTGAGAGTTACGGAGAAGTTTAAACCGAGACAACAGCACGAGAAATTAGTAAGTGTTGTACATGAGCTTCATGTTCATGTCTCGATGCCCTGTACACTGGGCCGCTGTCTCCCGCCGATTCTGACTATCCACTGAGTCATCTCTACTTCATTCGGGACTCCGGCCTTATCGACGTTGTCGAACAGCAGTACTCAGCAGGCGGTAGCCTAAACGATGCGGTCTCGAAGGCGATGCGTACGACGAAGTGATTCAATTGCTGTGCTACTACCCTCCGCCTGTAGCGGCTGCCGCGACGGCCACAATAACACCGCGGTTGCAGGCCAATCGTCTGATGATCGTGTGGCGCGCTTAACATGCACCAGACAAAGATACATGCTCACATAGTACGTGCTAATAGTAACACTTGGACAACCGTGAAAAACGATAGAATGTCATGCCATTTTTTTCAGTAGTTTTGTGACCTTTTAAGAGAATGACGCAGGACTTAGGACGCGAATTAGTAGACATCGTACAAGTATGGTACGGTGAGTCCTGTACCGTAACTTCTACCGAAACAAGCGGAGGCTGATAACAAACATATGGACGCAGCCACTGGGCAAGCGTTTGACAAAATCACTATCTTATTGAGTATGTATTTACAACGAAAACCAGTATCAATCAACCAGCAATCTAAAACCAGTACGCCCTTCAACATCAATGTATATAGGTTTATAAGTCGTACGCATTATTTAGTTAGCAATGGCGCTAGATAGATGTAATGGTCATGCATAGTAACCTACATAGGGGTTTTGCCCACTTATGCTAAGTGAACCGCTATTCCGCGAGTCGTAAAGTTGCTTTTCCGTAAAGTCGTAAAATTACTATCGACTTTGTCGGGATTATCTCGCTAAGCTTATAGTATAGATAAAATATAAATGAAAGTATAACTACTTGGAAATCTAAAAAAGAAAATGTGCAGACGGCACTGCACATGTGAGCTAAATTGAAGCGCTCTACGTGCAGACCGCATGGTTTGCATGTTACACGACAAAAATACGACCACCTAGGTATCATTACGACGGCGGGCCGAAAACTGCGACGGTGGCAAAGCCCAGACTAAGAACCAAACCTCTTGTCATTGCGGTTGAGACCATCGGACAGCTGTGCATTTATTCTAACTAGTTCTACTATCATTATTGGAGGTATTACCGAGGAATTTGAACAAGATTGCATAGTGCGGTGCACCAAAATAGACCCGAAGCTCAAAGAAACAAATTGTGAGCAACAATGTACCATTTAAACACGCCGCTACTCCAGTGACGTTTTTCGCTTCCCTATGATGAGAAAATATCTAAAAGTTCATTCTTCCGACTGAATTGAACGAGCGTATTAACGAACGGCAAAAACGTCACACACGCACACTGAATTCGGTGGAGATTGTTTCGGCGGAGAAGGAAAACTGCAATGGGAACGGTCAAGACATTTACAGGTGGTACGAGCTCGAATTGCCAATACATTTTTGCCTCCGTAGAATGGACAAATATATACATGTGCTCGTATATAAAACATTGCGTTGCCAAAACAAGCGGCACGTATAATTGCAAGTGACTGCTACTTACTGTGCGCTCCCGTATTATGACGTAATGACATAGACAAATGTTAATACAATGGTTTTGTTTTTTGGTTCAATATTCTGTTGCATTTTCCGACTGTGACGAAAGGTTCCGATCTGTTCATCATTGTCAACGCCCTCTCTTTCACGCTTCGTCAACGCGACTGGTGCTTGTAGCATGACGGCTCCTCGCGTACAGGCGTTCGTCGTTCAATCTGGACCTGCCGAAGAGTGCCGCTTCTGCTGTCGTCGTGGCCGCGAAAAGCGGCTGGTACGATCTCTGTGGTGTTGTTGGTGTTTCCAAATAGCGCCGCGGGAATCTCTTCGTCTCCCTGTTGGGTGCGCGTTTAGCGCCCAATTTATAGACCAATAACGTCGAATAAGAGGCCAACGGCGCCCGAGCGAGCCGCGATTCTGCGGCACTTGAGTCAATTCACCGCCCGTGCTGCTAGATTACTCTGCAATTGTTCTATCGTGCAATCAAAAAAGAAATGAACATTATTACTGCTACCAGCTACCTGTTGCGCTACAGGCACCCAGTTGGTAAGCTGGCACACTTCACACACTGTGAAGGGTGCCACACTTCACTGCTGCGATGACATGATTGGTGACAAACTCTAGCTGACGGCTATTTCTCGACATCCAATGGAACTCCGCCGTATGGAAGCGATGATTTGTATATACCCTAGAACACGAAGCGTCAACCGCTATCGTAGGGAACAACTTAATGTATGATATTAAGGTGCAATGAAAAATAGGCGACGGCCTAGTAGGCATCGACGTTGTAATAATAACTCCGTTTGTGTAAACTCTTTATCTGAGCGTTCCTTATTAGCATGTCCGACAGTCTCAAACGTTACTGTTGAGTAGCCCTTTGCATTATTTTGGTAGATGTTAGCCAAGTTCACATCAAGACGTTGTCCAATTGATCGACTAAGTGTAAACAATGGCTTTCCCTGAGCAGGGGTTTCGAATCCGTTTCGCAGCACGCGCACGGTTTGGAAGTTGACATTATGAACATCAATTGAGTATAAGTATTTCTCGGCAACTCCTTGGACTTGCATTTGTCAGAATTTTATATTTGCGTTTATTTTCGACTCCTTCAAGCAAAAAGATCGACACGGTTCATCTGCCTCTCTGCTGTACTCACTGAACAACGCTACGTAAGTAGCAGTGAAGGACGATTAAGTTACCCACGCTCCGCTAGAACGATACGTAATATCTGTGAGAGGGCAATTAACTTTGACGGCTAGAGGCCGATTTAGGCAACTGACTAAGCACGACTTTGTTATTATAAACGTCCGAAAATACAGAAAATTTCGAAAAATTCGAGTGAATATATATATAACTGGAAGAACGACGTAATCTGATGGGATCTATTTCAACAAAAGCTATTTTCCCGATCTGCTGCAGTGAGAGGGTTTTAACGTGAAGTTCGTTGCATTGATAGGCGCCATTGCGTTGTTACTATCGGAAAAGCGTCGTAAAGATTTTTTTTCTACGTAACGGAATCACTCAAAGGTATTAGTTCCCTAAAGTTCCACTCTAATCTCGTATACTGACTGTAGTTGGGCAAATGACACAGAATCGACTTGTGGTGTGAACATAATCTTAATTTATTATTATAATTGTCTTCTTCATATATCATATTTACACTATCATTATTAGTGTTAATATATAATAATTATTATTGTTCCTCCTGACTTCGTCTGGAATGGTGGTAACTATTTAAGCCGGCATTGTTATTTTTCCATCATATATGATAGTACCGATGAAGATCCAAAGCCGGATGCATTCGCCATTACTTGTTGTCATTGGTGACGTCTTATATTGCTTTTCATTCCGCTTCTGATTTTATTTAGCGTAATATCTGCAGGTGTTTTATGTTTATTTGCATCTTCATTTATATTATTGTCATAGCTATGAAGTAATATCATCATCATCGTTATTAATCATACCGTCATTACACCCATTGTTATTATTATTCTTCAATCAATGACCTCTCTTATATATACGAGAAGATTTGAACCATACTAATTTTGGTATTTGTTTTCGGGCGGAAATTAAATAATTTGATTTCCTTTATTTTCTAGTGTTTTTTTTCGTCTGAAACAGCCTCGTAATAGGCACTGTCTTTCCTGTGCATGCGTGTAAATACGTCCGCGTGTGTCATGTCCGCAATACTTGATTATCATTTATCGTCTACTTAGTCTCACATCTACACTGTTTCTCTAATAAACATATAAAGTTTTTGTTATCGCCTGGCCAGAGAACTTTGACTGCTGTCTGGCCCACCGGCCAGTTATTGCACACACCTAGACCGCCCTAGAGCTGGCTTAACATGGCTAGAGCTGTAAATCATTTATCATCCGAGGCATCCGTCTTTCGGTTAGTTCTTGTTTTTCACTGAAAATCGCCGTCCGATGTCTACGTCTGTATGGCTAAACGGTTACACAGTTACTGTGCCGGGGATTTCTGGTGCTATGGCTGTGTTTCTTCTAGTATTTTTGTCACCAGGTTGTTGTTACCATGAATAAGCTCTGCAATCTGCGGCATCTCATCGTCTGGCCCAATCATCGTCTCATCAGCCATCTCACACTCTCAGCCTCCCTCTCTCTCTCTCTCTCTCAGCCGCGCTCTCTCTCGCTCTCTCTCGCTCTCTCTCTCTCGCTCTCTCTCAGCCTCTCTCTGTCAATCCGCTACTTGTCTATTTTGTTTTCACATAACCTTGGCGTCAGATCTTTCTAGCTCTTGCCAAGGTCATGGCGAGCTCTGAAGTTCGCGTGACTAGGATCTACATTACTTTCTTGCGCGAGGCGTGCCGCCACGGCGCCGGAAATATATCGGACAGCAACTACTTTATTCTACGTGATAGGACAAGCGAGCTCGCCAGGGTGACTTTATCTTGTCTTTGTGCCAACTTCGATACGTCTAAATACATGGCAAAATACGATGACGCCGAACAGCCCGTATTTGCTATACTCTTGATTTCGCTATAGCTCCACTTGCAGTACCAGGGGATTTCCTTACCGTTCGAGTCTCAGGTTCGCATGCCAACGGGAAAAGGAACGTTTCTAGTAGTAGCATTACCAATGGAATGAGTCACTCGTCCACTGCACCACTGTCGACATTCTCTCTAATGCACGACCACTTATCAACCATTACTACCCGATAATGCCGTAGGCGCTGTAAACTTTATAACGAAGAGATGATATCACCATCAGAAGGATAAAGCACTCGTTCCTGCTGCTGCTGCTGCTGCTGCTGCTGCTGCTGCCGCTGCTGCTGCTGCCGCCGCCGCCGCCGCCGCTAGAGGGGACTCTGTAGGTGATAATGACAGCAAATAAATAGCAAAAGTGAAAGAAGCAGTACTGGCTTATTCTAGACGCTTCAATGGACAAGGACGTCGTACATCGTCGAGTTCCGGACTCCTTTAGGAGCCTGACTGCGATCAAGCTGTGCGTGGCAAATACCGAAAATTCGTTCCCCATTGGCCAATCATGCGTACTTCACTTTTGCTGATGCAATCCAATCATACTTATTTGAGTTTTCCTATAGCTGCATCGCACAGATGGGCTTGGCCGAGTAACCCGGGCCATTACAGCTGGTCCCACACGCAAATTGAGACTGCATTTGTTCCTGTAATTGAAACTGTTGCTGGTGTCCTTTCTGTTGATGTTGTCGTTGATGTACATTGACACGAACTGATAGTTGAAGCTGCTCCTCCTTCTGCGAGCGGCATCATAGTAGGGGATGATAGTCAGGTGGTAAGGTCGTAGCCCCCGCGGCTGCTGCCAATCCGGCTGTGAGGCCAGCGGCGGAGAAGTCGAACCTAAAGTCAGAGACATATGCGTCCACGATACAATATAGTAGTTAACATTCTGAAAATAGTACTCTACTCTGTTGTAGCCTACAATAATTTTACGCTGTAAAGTCACAAAGCACTGGTTAGGGAAATGTCGGATTCTAAAGACTCCGAATCGCGCTTCGTGCTTATGTTATTTGAATTAAATTTGTGAATTAAGCCAAATTTAGCTGGCGGAATGAAGTGGTACGTGTACAGGAGTGCATACTATAATCGTTTATGAGGCTGCCTACCTGATACCAGCCGCTGCACCCGGAAATTGAGCCGATTGTGCGGCGAGCTGAGTCGCTGTTGACGTAATCACGTCAGGTGGCGCGGATGCAAACGACGCCACGGCACTTTTCAATGAGTCCATTGAGGATCCTCCGAACAAATGATGAATCGAATGCTGAAATGCGGAACAGCAAATTTCCAACGTCAAATAGGAATCTACATCGACCAGCTTTCAAGTACCACACTCATATGTAGACGACTGATTCGCATTTTTACGATACGTCTTGCACTGGGCCACGTACACAAAGAGCACTGACAACGAACATCAAACTATAGCATCAGCGCCATATTGGGTCTCAATTCAGTTATATCTAATTCCAATTGTTCTTTATTGTGATTGTCCTTGCTCTTCGATATTGCGAGGTATTTAGACTAGGACGGTGTACACTTTTAGCCTTATTTTGGTCGGATGAGCTGTTGTCGGCCGGAGGAAAGCCTTGAGGCCAACGGCATCACCGGCAAGAATCGTACAGAGCTTTTTTCTAATAGCAAGAGTGCCAACGATCATAATGTCAGCATTCAGACCAATGGCCAAAACCACTTTCTGATTTTGTCTCTTCCCGCCCCCCCTCCACCCCCCACACACGCATACGCACGCGCATGCACACATGCCTACCTTCGTCTTCGTCGAAAGGATCATTAATACTACCCATTTTGTTGTTACTGGCTCCTTTGGCTCACTTTCCATCATTTCAATAACAAAATATCCTTGTCTTGTCGACAGGTTGTCCGCTGCTGCTATTGTTAATTTTCAGTTAAAGGAAAGAAATTCAACTGAAGAAGACTTCAATGTTCACTATTCCAATTCCTTCACAAGTCCAATATTTCTTTTCGTAACAATAGTGCCCTAATTCTCCTAGTATGTGTGTGTAATTTTCAGTTTGTGTTTTTGCTTGCGGGTACTGTGCTATTCAAAAGTTGCCGCTTCCGGCGTTTGTCACTCGTCTGTGTGTTCTGCGCAATTTACCCTCCCCCCCCCCCCCTCTCTCTCTCTCTCTCTCGCCCTGCCTCGTCGCAAAACTTCATATATTGCTTTTTTTTTGGCGTATGCGACTTTCTCCGGCGACGCGAGATGTAATTTTTGCTCATTTGTCAACACCGCCACGAGCGCTCTACCTGAATTATTTCCGAGTATATATCTGTCGGTACGCATACTCGCCGTAATCGTGGCCGCCATCGTGTTTTCGAGTAACAGCGTCCAACGCTGCGCTAACGTGAACAGACTGCGCATACGCGAGGGACGTATTACGCTACTTGTCTTTCTATGCGTTGAACTTAGCCCGTACGGCGGCTTTTCTCGTTTTGCCACAGACGCTACGATGGCTACCAATGCTAAACCGTAATGAAAAACTGGCTTCTTTTCCAACACTGGTCGGTCTCGTCTTTCGTTTAGATGTTATCGCCTCTCTATTCGAAGCGGAATGGAGCTTGCATGATCATGTTATGTATTGCTTTTGTGGTTCGCTGGGTCGGATGGCTTAGCGGCGCTTTATTGGCGTCCTGTTGCCTCTTCGGCAGGAAGAGCTAGACAAGCACGATGAAATGGCAGCGACAGCAGCTGACTCACAATTCCTAATTTAAAAAACGAACGTGCAGTAAACAAGCAATAGAAATAGCTAGCTTTTCGTGCGCAACCCATTAGCTTGTATCTAGAGTTTCGACTCAGCTGGTACTTTTAACCCTGTAGCCATTACCAGGGCCGCTGCAGCGGCAGTCGATGCTTTGTTAGCCATCAATCGATCGATCGCTTCACCGTGCCAGACCAGCACATAACGCATTAGTTTGTATGAGTCAGTTACAACTAGTGCCTTCTAAATTCATCCACCCTGATATGGGAACAGCTGTAGCTACTATCATTGACGCCGCGTCGCCAAAACCGAAATTATTGCAGTTAACTATATTAACTTGTATGCATGCGCGATCGTAGGCCAAATACATGTATACTCGTATATTTGGGCTGACGTAATTTTATAATGAAGAAAGCAATGGCGACCGGACAACCTGTGCAGATTCCATTTTGCAGAGAGGCAACAGGGCGAGAGAAAGGCAATGTAAAAGCTAAATAGCACATATAAAGTACATCGTGAGAATTGTTCACGTTATCGGTTACGTGAATGTACTCACGCTAATCTCACCGAAGCTGTTAGCCCATACGCTTGAATACGTATGAATGGATGCTAAACCGTCTGAAGTGCGGCCACAGCCGATCACTTGCGGTGGGGTCACCAAACTATTGCCACAGCTAACGTCAGTGATCTTCATTTTACGCCTGGATGTGTACACCCAGACACTTACTGGAACTCCTTATGTGTATCTTCTAGACTGGCGTACCTTCACAATGGCTGAACATCGTCGAAGTGTAAGCGTAAGCGAGGCGTTCATTGAGCGCACGTACGTTCCTCGTATGTGATCAGACCTACTTAGAAAAGATTATACAGAGTGGCGAACGCTTCTAAGAGGTGTTAGAACGAAGGAACGCCTCCCAAAACCGTTTAGCCTGTTGAACATGGCCAGCCTACTACAGATTCACTGTCTAATGATCTGTGGCATGGACACAGAAGAACAAACGATAATATATGGTGGGTCGGTCGGTCGGTCGGTCTCTGAGTTTCTATATGCCTGTATTACGGTGTACACGAACGGGCATGTTTTTTGTTCGTGTGTGTGTGTGTGTGTCTGTGCGTGTGTGTGTGTGTGTGTGTGTGTGCGCGCGTGCGTGCGCGCGCGCGAAAGTGTGAAGTTGTAGTGCGTGCGCGAACGAGAGGGTAAGGGGCAGATGTAGAGCGCCACCCAGCGTAGCGTCGCTGTAATCGCAGTTTAGAGGATCCATCTGAGCACATAATTTGGTCAGTCACGTTCGACTCGATCTAGCTCGTGATGGAGCGGCGCCTCCCAACTCATTTAAGCTCAGTCGTCTGAGTCTCAGACCGAAGAACAGCGCTGGCATCAATGATCGCCGCCGGAGAACGAATTCAGAATTATTCTCTGCATATTTTTAGTTCTAATGCGTATATGGATATTCAGTTAATAACTATCGGGATTCAGCAACTGGACTTACTCGGGTGACACGTCTGATTGTCATAACGAATCCTCTAATGCTGATACAAGCGTTATTTAAGTCAGCCGCATACGATATGGTTTTTTTGATTCCATCGAATATTATAACGGGTAACATACGAAACCGATGTCAGACATTTTACTGCAATCACCCAGCTTTTTGTTCTAGGTAGATTTCGATACTTCTTTAAATTCTATCCTGCCACTACTAAGCCCCCGTAGCCGAGGGCAATAACACTATATATAAGCCGTGACTAGAGAAACATGTGGATATGGATTGCTAGATAGATACGCACGTATATCTGCGGTGGCTCTTCTCGGGACTGGAAGTGTTCGTAGTTCGCATATTAGCAGACAGCTGATCTTCTACTCATCCGATAGCGTCGTTCTGCGTCGTCACATAGGGAAAGAAAATTGCTTTCAGTAGCAAATATGCTGTCCTGTAGCAACGCCAGCAGAAGCGAAGGATCTACTATAGCCAGGTAATTTCTCATTCGGTCTGGCGGACGCTCTCGCTGGGTGTGGCGGCGTCATCTCTACACGTCCAGAACGCGAACAAATCGCATAGCATAACAGACATTTCGTTGCTTTTTGTTTTGCTGATTTTGGCTAAGCTTAGGCCCGCGACGATGATCATCCTACTATGATCGTATCTGCGCCGCTTTACGTCATGGCTACCATGGATACGTGTCCTCCCCCTGTCGGAAGATGTTTTGTACCGAACTTTTTTTAAGCATACAAACACGTGTCGTCAGCATTATCACGACATTTAGTGCCTCCTACTTTTCACATCGCGGTCGTTGAAAGACGGACGCTCGAACGGTTTGTACGGGGCAGGCAGGCAGGCAGGCAGGCAGGCAGACAGGCAATAACATAGCATTCTGGACACTTTACATGTGGAAAGGATGTAACAGGCCAATCAATATCTAGGCATACCCTACAGCCCACTCTGCTGTTCCGCTAATATCTTGATTTCATACGATCTTGTTGTGATTTTCAATTAACCTCAATAGACAGCAGACCTGATAGGTGCGAACGAGGACAGAGCCTACCTCTGTAGGGTTTACTTAGGCTCTAATTAGCTAATTCTGTAGTTTATCCGTTCTAGCTAAGCTGACATTCGATTCAAGTGGCTTTTGTACTTACCAAATAAAATCCATTATCAATACCGTTCTAATACCGTTCAGTCTAATAGGCTGTAATATGTAATAGCTTTTAGGTGATTTTCTTTTTGTGCAAAGCTTCATATCGTCTTGCGGAAAAATGTGCCAATTTATATATATATATATTTTTTACAGCCCTAGCGTAATATGTGCATAGTCATTTGAAGCATACGACGTTCGATATCGATTCCACGACCCCGATGCCTTTCCACTGCCTCCATTTCAGTTTATATTTACGTTCGTTGTGTAATGTTATCTTCGGTATTCGTATTATATTTTTCCCACTCCGTTCCATCTTTCCTATTTTCGCTATATTGTGTGTCTGCGTTAATATTTCGTCTGCGCCAATAATCATGATTCGACGCGCTTCTGCCACCGCGCGAAACAACACTTGCATCACGCTAATGGAAGGCAATAAAAAAAAAAAAAAAAAAAAAAGACGCGAGCAAGAACATGGCAGGATTCTGTGCTGCCTTTAAGTAGCTGCTACATCTGTTCCTTCGCTCTTACGGCGGCCGCTAGTTTTAGTCAATAAGTTTTGTCTTTTTCATCTATCTGTCTGTCTGTTTTTGACAGGCCTGTATCTGGTCTGCTTGCTTATTTGCCCAGATATGCGTACGCGCCTATGTTCGTGGTCTTCGGCGATATGCGTTACTTCGTTGCTGATATAGCCACAATATCATTGTTAACAATGGCAATGCGCGCCGCTGGTAGTCATAGCGGATGTTGTCTATATTGCTTGCCTATCGATGGTTGACTATTCGTCGGCTTGGTGTTGGTCACACAGTATTATGGAAATTACTGCATTTAACCGTTTGACTGTGGCTATAGCAATGAGATCATCTGTATCTCCGTCTGTTTGTGTGTGAGCGTACGTTGTACGTCTCGTGTTGGACTGGGATGGCTCGGTCACGACTCGCTCGATTCCATCTTATTTCTATCTTACTTTCCCCCTTCCCTCTCGCTCGATTCGTCTGTCCGTATATAGCTGAAATACGTCGGCTGCTCCTCCTCTTGACTCTCGTCCTATCTCACGCGACCCGGTCACCAACCCAGGGACACCACCAAATATCCAAGAGTTTTTCGTCTTCAATTTTTTTTTGTTTCCCATTTCGTTTCATTATATTTAGAGTTCAATAACAAGCATCTCGACTGTTGCTGTTCGTCTAAAACGGCCGGGGCAATAGCGAAGCAACGCGACGCGTCTACAGGCCGCCTCTTAAGGCGATTATCTCGACCGACGCTGACGCTGACTCTGTTGCTGCCACAGCTGATTTCTAGTTATAACGGTGTTGTTCACGCTGCCGGCCTTATATTGCATTTCTTTAAACAGAACGAGGAAGTGACGGCGGATCAGTTGCCTCTTGAACTGAAATTCCAATCGAAACTTAAATTCATATAGTTACTCGTATTGATTATAATAGTTCTAATAGTGTAGATGGCAGTTGCTGTTATTGCGTAAACCCTTATTTTTAGTGATTAACAGCGACCTTGCTCAACTGATATTCGGATCACATGCGCCGTCTAGATACGAGGAACGGAAAAATCTACGCTAGCCTCTCTGCATTCAAATACGTCAACAAACGTAAGCGGCGGCATTTGGGTTGTCCATCTAGTTAACAAAGTCATGAATTTCTATCCTAGATGTAAGCACTGATTTCTAACAGCTTAGAAAAAGATGCTTTACTATGAAATGCTACACTATCCTAGCGCAAACGTACATATAATTTAACTTCTTATTTTCTACTATAGTAAAAAACAACAATTTCAATGTAATTGTTTTGTTCGACTATTCAATTTTCACGATACAGACACGAGTTGGGTTGTAATTCTGTAACATAAGTTTCGACAAGACTGGGAGTTTTCCCTGTACCTTCTAATGTGGCCACCTTGAGCCTTCTTTGCAAACAAGGTGCTTGTAATAAGAAAAAATAATGACGAAAACGTTATGTAGCCCGATTTTTTCCGGCATAGTAACCTCGCTGGTGGCTGACTGGAATAGAAGTATCGACAGTATGCATTATTAATTTTGGCAGTCCATCAGTGTCCATAGACAAGCAACGTGTACATCTTCATACGGTAGGCGAGCTATCTCGCTTTACGATACTGTTACGTGCCATAGGTCTGCGATACACCGGCAGCGTGCTTCAACCCTCAGTTGTTCCTACTACGGTTTCCGTTCCACGCGGTCGTAGCAATCAACTCGTTTAGTAGGCGATAAACTTGCGACGTTGCACTCTGCACAAGGTTTCTCTTATTCGTGGACGGACGCGAAGCACTACATAAAGTAAAGTAGCAAAGTTTAACTTATAAAGTTTACGGTGCGATTTCGGCTGGCTAGACGTTTCTTCGGTTCCATTGGTGACACACCGCGTCGGTGCAAATAACTTAGGAAGCGATACACGGTTCACTACGTACGCTGATGTTGTTGTTACTACTATAGTTTCACTACGATACGGCATCAATGTGACCGATTGTAAATACTGTCGCTGTATGACATAACTGAAAAAAGGTAAGACGTGGATCGGTAAGTTCAGAAAAAAGCATCGCGTAGCCCGCTGCTGCCGCGATTCAGTATGCGGAGCAAGCTTTTAGCAAAGGACAACAGAAATCGGGATGTTGGCCAAGAAATCGGCACGAGGACGAAACTGTTGCCCAGTAAGGGTTCTATTACCTTATCGTGACGTTTCTATGGCGATGCCGACCTACCTGTACAGCGAATAGCATCACCACGCGACAAAATAAACGTACGTATTCGTCTGCGTGAGAAGAACAACTTTGCTTTGTCTATCTGAACCGACGAAAGCGCCACAAAGACGAAAGAGTAGCATAAACAAGAAGGTTGGTGGACGAAGAACCGAGTTAGGGCAACCCCCCATGATGTAATCAGAATACGAAAAGGCGAGTGGAATGTCACGAAGACAACTCACTTCAGTCAGTAGAAATGCTCACAGAGTAGGCGCGGAGAGCTTTATTTGTCGATGAAAGCAGCTCGTTTCACATGGAAAATTTCAATCGAGAAATATGGCAATAGAGAATAAGTTACGTACGCTTGCGTCTTCAAACCAATATGAGGCCTAACTCACATAAAGTGAACTTTCTTTTCGCGCATAAGTGCACAGCTGCTGAAAAGCTACCGTGGGAAGATCGAAAGGTTCGTATATGTGGCTTTTAGCTCCAGGCAAAGTTTGTTACGTGTATATATAGGAAACGTTTCTACAAGATAACGAAATCACTGTACGTCACACATCAGAATGTCTTAAATCAAAATAAATTCCTTACCTTCGTGTACTGATGCGTCTGGGCCTGGTGGTAATGGCTAAAGCCTTGGAGCATCTTGAGCGTATCCTGCGCTGTTTGGCTTTGTACACCTTGGACGAGTTCACTAACGGCACTGTGTAAGTCACCCGGACCGCTTTGGCTAAGATTGGCCAACGATCCTCCTAAAGTACTTCCAAGAGCGACGCCCGGAGAGGTACCTGCAGGTTCTGGTGATAGGCACGAATTATCGGACTCTTCTTCATCGTCGTCGGCGTCAGCGTTTGAGATGCCTCCGGATGATCCGCTCTTTGACGGGCCTTTGTCGCCTGTCTGACTCTCCCTGCTGAAAGAGATCAGTTACGTCGAATTAGTTCTGGACTTCATTAACAACATGCGACAACAGTGACAAACAAGAAGCAAGCACGCGATATATATAATAACAATTTGTAAATAATTAGATGATAGTTTGTACAATATTGACAGGCATCAACAAGCTCATTTAATGTATTGAGCTGCACTACGAAACCAAGACATTTCGTATGCCCCAGAGTTAAGTTGTGTCGTCAACCGTCAGAAGATACCTCGGGCCGACGTGAAACACAAGCAACAATACCTATGTAAGTATGACAGCTGACTGCTCGGGACATCTCCTTTTGCATGTTCTCCTTTTTACGAATGCAGCTCATCTGCTCATTGTTATACTATAACCAAACTGATCGTAGCTAAAAAATAGAAACACATTGCTAATTTCCTGATCTGGCCGGCGTTGCAGCGATCGCAATCGCTGGTCATCAGGAACACAGATCGTAGTTTGACATTGATGTCAGCAATTGTCAGGAATCGTAATAATGAGGGCAAGGCGCACCTGTTCAAATGCCACATGACAGCAAAGCTACATGGAATACCATCCACCCATACAGATACATTTACACATAGAAAGAATAGCGGGCTCCGGTGACGTCGTCCCAAGATTAGACGAGGAGGTATCGCGATTGTGCCATAGGTACAACCCGTGGCCCAGATAGCAGTACAGCGCACTCACAAAGTGAGCAACGACGTCCCTGCTGCTACCTTCTAATAATCAAGGATGGAATAACCCAGCTAAATGCAGGACCATCTCAGTCTGGTCGGACTATGGCCGTCTGTGTTAAGCTGTCCTGAATACAAAGTGGCATAGCAGGAGTGACATGACAACGTGGCAAGAGCAAGTTCCTATTTCGACACTTGCTTCAGAAACCGACGGGTAGGGCGGACATGGAATAACACGTGAGGCCATTGCAATGTGCCAGAAAGTAGGTACATTAGAAGAGACTTTAAGATTATGATCTGACTGATCGCTATAAGAGCTATGGATTTTTCGCTGGTCTCAGTCACTAATAAAGTAATCTCCACGAATCGATAACATTTACATTTTCCTATTTGCCAACCTAGAGGTTCTTTTCAAAACTGATCGCAGCGTCTGAACGTAGCCATGCTATGAATAGGAACACTTTCCCCAAATGGTCCTTAAGCAGTTGCTGAGGAAACTTTCTCGGCTCTATTTAGGCTAATCAGTCTTTCGCTGAACTCAGAGTGATCCCTATTGCTATCATTTCCGCTCATCCACCTCTGCATACCGAATGTTTTTGGCCGTCCTCGAACGGTGCACATTATTACTGCAGCAGCCGAAATAGCTCGTAATAAATCGTGGATGACTTTCTTGTCTTCAAGAATCTCAGCCAGCCCACGGTACTAAATCTCTTTCTTCCTTTTTCTTTAAGCCAAATCTCAAGCCATGTCTCTGTATCTGTATACGTGATTTCGCAGTAACACTAAACCGCAGGTTCGTGACGCCCCGTAGTCCCATTATGGTGGGTTAGTAGGACGCCGGATCTCCTCTCGCCTTAGGAGATCACACCTACTCTGCACACAGGCGAGTGTACACGCACACATTGGGATATGTACATGCTTTGCTCACATATCGAGGTGGGAAGGATCATAGGTGGAGTCCGTCGGATCCAGTTGAGACCACTGCTGCGTACACCGATGCCTAGCTCTGCTTCTATGAGCTCTATTAGGCTGGGATCGGTAAGTAACGGCCCAACCAGGCCGGCAGGATCGTCTCTCCTGCTCTCATTCGCCTCTCACTCACTGCTGAGCCTACATTCTGCTTGTTGGCTTACACAAGCTGGTCCTTATGTCAATGAGGCGAACAACCTCTTTATTTTCGGCTACACGCACTTCCTCACATCGGCAAACACGAACTGGAACGCATAGCAGGCCAGCCGTTATAGTTAGCGTCGTCGACAAATTCTGCACGATAACGACGTACATCGCACAGCACTACACTATACGGACGTAGATAACACAGTGGCCTTCTCCCTACCATCAAACAGCTTTAAGCCAGCCCCAAGAAGCACGGCCAGCATCACCAGTAGGGGCAGCTGCAAACACAACGGCGTGCGTGTAATAGCGCTGTGGTCAGATTTGGGCGACTTCTACACACACACAAACCCGCACAGAGACATCGTTAGCCAGCTAGGCATATACTTAGGGGTGGGAGCGCTCCATCCGTGCGTTGTCTTCACAAGCCCGGTGGAATCGAACCGAACGGCCTACCCGAAGTGCCTCCCACTTAATCGCTCTATTATGAGACCTCCGCTGCCGGAGCGCCAGCCGCGGCTGCCCTCACCGAAGTCGCCGCCGTAACAGCGCTGGCAGCAGCAGCACCGGCGTCATTACAATGCCATCCAGGGCGTATATGTGTAAGGCCCATATAAAACGAGAAGGTAAGAAAGCTTGCTTAAAGATAATGGTGACACCTGGAGAGTGAAAACGCATCTAGAACGATAGACATGAGTACATATATACGTGAATTAGAGTAAGTTGTACCTACAAACGTAGTTACACTTGCAGTTCTGTTGTCCAGCAGCTTCACCTTTCCGAAGTAATCGAGTGACTGACTACGTTGTTTCTAAAAGGGTCATAACTTTGTTGGCAGTGTTGACGACCTTGTTATTTCAACGGTACCGACCGGCACTGCCTACAGTGTTTGAATGAAGCCAGGATCACGCTTCATAATGAAGCAAAAAAAAACTGGCCTACCATCATTAGGATTTAAAGTACTTAACGATAATAACACCTAACTTTAGGTATCTACAGAATTTACACAGACCCGACGAAATATTGTGCATGCTACCAATTACGATTACCCTTGAAGTTCGATACGTAACGGATGCAATATCACGCCGTCACTTTTGCAAAAAGTACACTTAATACATCGAAATCGAGTACGAAGAAACCGATTCATATAACGTTTCTACGACCAAATCAATTTGTGAGGATCACTGCGCCTACGGACGATTCCGCTAGAGCCTTTCTTCAACAATGTATTGTTTCGACGAGATCGTCTTCATCGCTTAAGCGTTTGTCAAGGATGAGTAAGTCGTCGTCATTTTCCGACAAAATAAGCTTCGATACCGCGGCAGTCATTAAGTTTTGGCAGGTCACCTTACGTCAGAGCCGCACTATAGTTGTTTATTTTTAAATGAAGAAGGCGATGCGTATTTTCGATAGCTCATGGCATGTACGGCGGTCACAATGTAAACACATCAACGGCTGCAAGCATTCCCTGTCATCGACAGCGACACCGATTAATCTATTCAGAACACAAAAACGTAAGCACACACACATATTGTATGTACATATCAATGTGTGCATTCGTATACAAAACAACCTGGCCGATTCAAGCGCCATGGGTGCCTAATTTAGCACTATGCTAGGTAGTGCGCGTAATGTGAATTTAGATGACGCTCGGCTAAAATTTTTCCTGCAACGATAGTAGCTGGCCATAGTCCTGTCTCCTCGCTGTTTTCCCCAACCGTTGTAGTACCTATATTGTCGTAGTTGGCGAGCCGGTTGCTTGATTCGTTGGCTGGTTTTCGATTAGTTCGAGAGTTGAATCCTGTTGACGCCTGCGGATTCGCTGCGAATCAGCGGATGCAACGTATGGCGACAGCCTATAGGTCGGCTGACGGTTCACATTTCGCTACGTCAGCTACCCGACGGCGGCGGCGGCGGCAGTGGCAGCAGCAATATCTGCAGCCGTCCTATAAAGAAGATTGCCTGTCTGCCTGGTACGTTGCCTGAGCGCTGTCATTGAGTAGACGCTAGCAATCGTTGTGTCTACCAGCCAAATACCTACGCGAAAAGCACCAGGAAAGGTAGCAGCGGCACGCCGTCGCTATCGTTACTGGCTAGCGAAGCGGTACCGGGGAGCGTCAAGAGAGTGAAATCTGATCATTACCTTCGTTTTTGTCTGCTTGGCAGAAGCTGGCCGGCCAGGCGGACGACTCTTCTAGTACTCGTTAGCAGAGATTTGGCTACAGTGGTCGTAGCATTAGACTGCTAATAAGCCATTCGTTACGTGTGGCAAGCGAGCAGGTACCTAGGTTGCTGGGGCTAGCAGGCACACCACCCAGCAGGAACCTGTACAACGGTAGCAGCCGTCAAAACGAAAAGGACACAGACGAATCCTGGACGTGTGAAACTATGTTCTCCTAACATTTTGGCAGTGTTGCCGTTGTCGTCGCGGTTTTGTTGCTGATGTTGCAGTTGCGGCGCTGCCAAAAGAAGGCCGTGTTTCACTTTGTCCTCCTACAATATTTAATAACACATACGCGCACAGATCGCGAACTGAAACCGCGAAACCTTGCCGTGTAAACGACAGGCGGCAGCTACGAAACCGATGGTCCACACTCGACCACATCGCGCGTCAACGTATCATTCTTCGTCGTCTAATCTCGTAAACGCTGCATCGCTCAGGCGGCCCTTCGTCAGCTATAGCGTAAATGACACTGAAAAAACCAGCCGAACGTCAAACCTATCCGCGAGACACGCGCAACTGGGCCATCGATTCTGCTCGTGTGCGAGCAATCGGAGCAATTACTAGTAGTACGTATATATTATGGACCCAGTGGAGGCTTCGGCAGTCAACGCTGTGTTATTGAATTGCCGACGCCTGCGTCGTCGCTATCTACACTAGACGCACTCCGGCGTCACGCTATCCCCAAAGGAGGTGAGATCCTTATGGCAACACAGGTGCGACCAAACCCAATAAAATGGAGCCGCCTGCTATGGTAAAAGTTAGGTTTAAGAATATGCATTGACGACGCGTACACAGCCAGCGACTGCTCTTGCGCATTATCAAACATCATCAGGTGGGCAGAATAGGCCAAGAGAAATATGGCATTTTGCCCTGCTCATAGTGGTTGTTACGTGCCTGGTCCACCGCTTCATGCTTACTTCAGGTGTCAGATCTTTTTTGCTGCTATGTTAGCAGTGACAGGAATAGCAAGCGCTTAG